TTTAAAAAATATTATCATGGTGTTTCTCAGCATGGACATGCCCACATCTGGGAAGATGGCAAAATTGCTGCTCAAAATAAAAAAATAAAAAAAACCCATGTCTGTTCAACTTTGATGAAAGGTCGAATTTCTCCATCTGTCAGTGTCCCCGGTCCTATGAGTACAATAGATCAAGCTTCGGTCTTGGACATGTTCAGTCAGACAGAATCATAAAGAAGCCAGAGAGAGCAAACTTTACCCATTCTATCTCATGCTCTGGGCTCTTGTTCCAAGAGCCCACATCTGAGAAGGCTGGGATTTGAGCATCTGGAGAGCACGGCAGTGGTGGAGCTGCCTGTGCTGATCTGAGAGGTGCGGCCAGGATTCTAGCAGACGCATTTTATGTGGGCTCATAAAGAGCACGTCTATTCCCGGTCCTGTAAGGGAATCTGAGGATGGTCTATCTGATCCAGGCTGTAGTTTGTAAGTGACTTACTCAATGTCATCTGAATACCTAACGACAAACCTGAAACTGCCTTGACGTTTAGTGTTTGTTTTGTAGTTTTCTATGTCTGATGTGCATGTATGGCTGTCCGGCTGTCCATGGAAGGCAGAGGTCAGTGTTGGGTGTCTTCCTCAAAACCGCTCTACCTGAATTTTTAAAATAGGGTTTCTCACGGAACCTGGTTTCAGCAAGCCGCAGGGATTCTTTTGCCTTTCTCTCCCCAGGGCCAGGATTGTAGGCACATGAGCTTACACCTAGCTTTTGTGTGTGTGTGCTGAGGATCTGAAGTCATTCTTACGCTAACATGGCAAGGACTTTGTCAGCTGAGCAGTCTCTGAAGCGTCTGGCAGACTGTTACCCCAGCCCTGGGTCCTCTCCCCATTATGCCCTCTTCTCTGTTGGGGCTCTATCTGTGTGTATTTGTATTTTTTTTAATTTGGGTTGTCTCTGTTGTCTGGGCCATTGCATGCCAAGCGAGTTGTTGTTGATCACTGTGTCTTCGGTGGGATGACTTGTCTTTGTGAATTGGGGAAAGCCCATCCTGAGAGGTGTGTTTGGTCAATGGAAAAATGTGTTAGGATTGCCTACTCTACATTAGTGAATCTATAAATCGTTACACTCAGAAAGTTCATAACCGTATGTGTTTGAGTCCCTCTCTCCTCGTCGTCGCAGATAAGCTACACTCTGATGCATCTCTCTTGTTCTTGCAGCTTGTTTCCACATGTAACTAGTTTAGACAAGAATTATTACCTGGACTAGGAATCAACAGGCAAGGCAACCATGTCCTCACTGAGAACCACTGATGTCCTGTCTCCTCATTTCACAGAACTTGACTGGACACTCACAGATGTTTAGGACTTGCACAAAGCCTTAGTCAGTCACCTACTAAAGAGGACAGGCCCGGACTTTGGTTCTGGATGGGATTAAATACTGCTAATTTCCCTGGGGCATTGTTCATGCCTCGCTAACATCTTGGAGGCCATCAAACTGAGCGGAGCCAGCCCAGAAGGGTTCCCTGGAAGGAGGTGTCTAGCACAAAGACTACATGTAAATATAGCTATGGTGCTCCAGCCTGTCTGCTGGGAAGAGCTGGGAAGCAGCTCTCTTTAGGAGGAAGAGCTGTCTGGAGTTACCCTGCTGTATCTTAACTGATTTGGGGGAAAGATTGTTGTTGATCTCAACTAAAGCAAACAGAAGAACTTAGTTTCTTCAGAAAACTAATTACAACTTAGACTGTGGTTTCATTAGTATCTCTTTATGTACTCTAAGCCCCGCCTCCACAGTGTTTGCGTTTCTAGTTGTCATGTGATTTGAAACACTTCATTTTCTAGACATTAGTGGTTTGTTAAATTTTGTGTGTACTGTGTATGTCTGGTGCCTGCAGAGGCCAGAGGAGGGTATGGAATTCTCTAGCCTGGAGCTGCGGATGGTTGTGAGTCACCAGATAGGTGCTGGGAACTGAACGCAGGTCCTTTGCAAGGCAGCAAACACTCTTAAGGCTGTTTATCTGGCTCCTGGCGCCATGTATATTAAAGGAACAGCAGATGATTAAACAGCATAATTGTGTACCTCTATCCATCAACGTGAGAAACTGAAGCGAAGGAAATAAGTGTGGCACACTTCAGTGGAAGGATTAGGAAGATTTTTTTTTTAATGTGCGTCTATGCTTTCTGGATCAGGGACACAAAGTTCATCCTGTCTTTTTCATTTCCCAGAACGACAAAAGAGTCACCTCTTGCAGTGGGGGTCATGCTTTGGAAATCAGCTCTGCCCTGAAATGCACCATTTACAGTCAGTTATTCAGTGTGGAAGGAATGCAGTTAAGAGTATGGTCGCAAGCTTCTTGCAGTGCTTAGTGTCCCAGCGTGCTTTCTTTTCTGAAACACAGTTTTGAAAAAGATGATAATTTTAGAAGCTGGGCACACAATGCCGATCCTGTTCCCGGCTCTGGCTCCCAGGACTGACAGGCAGGGAAGTCCACTGACCCATATTTAAAATGTTGTCTCTCAGGATTCAAATGAATTCAGATTCTTATAAGGAAAGATCAGGTGGATCCTGGGAAGACTGTGTCCTGAAGGCCTCAGTGGTAGTCTTTGGATGCTGGTGGCATCTCTACCTGGTCACTGGTCTTTGGCAGCTACTAGTCTGTGGACCCGATCATCCTTACTAAAGACCCACACACGAGACGGACAGTCTTAGTTCTTTTCCTGTTCCTGGGATAAAACACCCTGACAAGAGAAATTTAAGGGAGAATGGCTTATTTTGGTTTATAGGTCTGAGGTACATAATCAATCATGGTGGGGTAGTCATGGCAACAGGCAAGAGAAGCTGGTCACATTTCATCCACACTAAGAGAGTAGAGAGAATAGGAAATGGGCCTGGGCCATAAAACCTCAGGTCCCACACACAGTGATCCATTTCCTCTAGTGAGGCCCTATTTTCTATCCACAGCCTTCCGAAACAGAGTTGACAGCTGGGACCAAGTATTTAGCCATGTCAGTCAATGGGGGGCATCTCACGTCGCAATCACAGCCAGGGCCTTCACAGGCAGTGTCAAGCAACGGAAAGAGGGAAGCTTGCTTTTCTCCAGCATTTTGGCTTTGAAAATTACAATTTCAAAACCTCCTTTACCATATACTAACCATACGGGTTTCTTAACCCCCTTCCACTACCCATAATGCATATGTCCTTTAGTGTTGATAAGACTACTGAATGGCTTCCTAAGCAATGCAGCAGTGAGGTTGAGGGCACGTTGCCTGCATCGGGTTGAACACACCCCTTCTCTTTAACACATCTACTGTTTATCTTCTGGAAATGTTCACTGCGCTGTTTTGTTTCTGCCCTGGTCATGTTCTTGGTTTTGCTGGCGATTCTGCATTCTTGTATTGTACTTTCCTCTACCAGCTTGGGAGGATTCCTCTTTGGAGGAACTAGAAGCTTTGGATTACAAAGGAGATTATTCACTTCCCAGAGCCCAGGAGCAGAGTTTTAATGAGTTCTCTTCCCAGAAACCGAAGAAGGAGCTGGGCTGTCCTCTGATTCCAACCTGCCTAGTAGCAGGGTCTCAGAGCAGGCTGAATGTGGACGACTGTGCGCATAGGAAATGACTGAAGGTTTCTGTTCTAGCTGCTGGCAGGAGCGAGGAATGACTGAGTTTATTAATGATCTTGCAGGGCTCTGAGCTGACAGTCTATTTGTTTTCATTATGTAAACCAGCGTGGTTTGGGATTATGCAGATTTCCACCTTTTTACTTAGAAGGCAAAGAATATTCATTAAGGATATCAGTAAAGACCAAGGCGGTGATTGAGTCTCCAAAGCTGTCCCCTGCACGCTGAAAGACAGAAAACTTAAGGGGCTGAGAGAATGAGAGATTGATTGCAAGGCAAATTATAAACCCATTTCAGCTCTTGGCCTGCGGACTGGGAAGTAACATTATTTGTTGTCAGGGATGGAAAACAACTCAGATTTGGGTCCAAGCGATTATTCCACGTTGACACGGCTGCCTGTCTGCCAACTGCAGCTCCGTTTAGACATAGATTAATTAGCCTGGCAGAGGGGGGCGCGGGCTCTGAGAGCGGTGCCGAAGGGGGCTGCTCTGCCTTAGTCTCCACTTTGGAGGTCTGTAGATCTGCCTCCCAGGAAGCTGACAACCCACTTTCATTGCTAAACCCACAGCGAGCCCGGGTGAGAGACTGGATAGAAAACACTGTGCATGTCTACAGGCTTTCTTAACGCCAACAAGTCAGAGAAAAACCTTCAAACTTCGTTGCTGCCAGGCTGTCCCCATGGAGACAGGGGGGACCAGCTAGCAACCTGTAGACTTGAGTGGCTTATCAATCTTTCCTTTGACCTTGAATAAACCATGTTGGACTTTTATTATTCCTTCATGGGACATAGAAATGGTAGTGTATACACTCACATGGATATAGTATGCCCATTACTTGAATTATGGGACAGATGGGATAAAAATAAGGAAAATTCTTGGGGGAAGTGAGCCCCAAGTTAGATCACTGGAAACAGTATATTACAGGCTCGACAAGAGGGCTTTTGAGCCTTACTAGAATCTTCCTTACAAGGAGTCTTTAACCTATACATCGTTCACGTTTTTCTTATATCTTAGCTGACTTCTGTTTGTTTCCTCAAGGCATGGGACAGTGTGGGGTCCATTGTAACTCACCCCACCACGAACTTACCGAGGGCAAGATGGCAGTGGAGAGCGGGGGCTGAGGTTCCTGCCCTCGGGTGGGGGTGGGGAGCTTGGATTATCAACAACACCCTGTCCATTCTCTCCAGCGTTCTGGGCTCCGTGGCAGAGTTCCATCCCGCCAGCGTAGTAACCCCTGTGGACTCTGCGGCAGCCTGGGTTACTGCTGTTGGGAGCTGTGGTGGGCAGTGGCAGTACGACTCCAAAAGGAAACCCTTGTAGCGTGTGGATTCTCCCCTCCTCACGAAAACTTAGATGAGGATTTTTCTCTTTTACTGTTAACACTTCATTGCACGGATTTCTCCCCCCAGTGGTGGCGCTGAGCGGTACGCGGTGTTAGCAGAAGGGGGCGGTACTTTCTCTCTGGACCCTGACTGGAAGCCCAGTGCGACTCCAGGGCAGTCACCAACAGAAGCAGATGTGCGAGCCCAGCAGCTGTGCGTCTCTCTCTCTGCCCAGGTTAGTTTGTTTGGGGTTGTTCTTTTCCACGTGGGAGTGCGGTGTTTGGCCTTTCTCTTTCCTCCGCGGGGCTTTCGCGCGTTTAAATGTTGATGGTTTCATTTTAAACACAAACATTTTTCATTTACTTATTAAAAGAAGAAGGGGGGATACTCTACTGCTTTTGGGGTGGGGTAATATGTCCAGATGGATTGTGAATTGAATACTAAATCACAGGCATTTGGCCGTTATTAAATCTCACCTATATATGAAGCATGGAAATTTACAGGGGTTACCTCCTGTTTCTTTTCTTCTTACCATTTCAGACTCTTTTCCATTGCAAGGAGAGAAGCCAGGATCGTTTTTAACCACTGAAGGACTTATGTAGCCCTCATCCGTGCAGGTAAGTGGTGTGTTTAACACAGGTGACTTAGAAAGCATACCTTATGTGGTCTGCACCATTGGGACCTCCCAGCTGTGCACAGCCTGTGTTCAATTCATTTAACTTTTAATGGTTACATTAATGAAGAGTTATTTCAAGGTCTCAATATTTTTTAAGTAGCTCAATTACTTTGCTTCGAATCTTCTCATCCATTGGCTATAATCTCTGCTTCACTGCCAAAACTCTTTTGCTGTTCCTGTCTTCCTAGAGTGTCAATCAACAGCAGAGCTAGAAGAACTTTGTATTTCTTTTTTTTCTTATTTATTTATTTATTTATTAAAGATTTCTGTCTCTTCCCCCAGCCGCCTCCCCTTTTCCTTCCCCTCCCCCAATCAAGTCCCCCTCCCTCAGCCCAAAGGGCAATCAGGGTTCCCTGCCCTATGGGAAGTCCGAGGACCACCCACCTCCATCCAGGTCTAGTAAGGTGAGCATCCAAACTGCTTAGGCTCCCACAAAACCAATAGGTGCAGTAGGATCAAAAACCCATTGCCATTGTTCTTGAGGTCTCAGTAGTCCTCCTTGTCCGCTATGTTCAGCGAGACCAGTTTTAACCCAGGCTTTTTCAGACCCAGGCCAGCTGGCCTTGGTGAGTTCCCGATAGAACATCCCCATTGTCTCAGTGTGTGGGTGCACCCCTCGCGGTCCTGACATATAAAAAATACTATCCACTTCATCAGGAACACAGTTGAGACAGGAGATTAACCTTTCTGAAATATTCGTCCTGCTACCAAATGGGTACAGTGATGATTGTTAAAGGAAAATGGTTTGGGCAAGATGGATGCCCCCTTGTCCTGTCCCTGAGGGTGTCCAGTGGAGCTATCTGAGAATGGCTTCTTTAGGAATACATACTGCAAAATCTCCCATAGCCTGTTTTGCTCTTCTAACCAATAATTTTTGGTTTCTTTGCTATAAGGCATTTAATTACAACTGGCAAGAGTAATGTTTTATAAAATACAATTTCAGAACTTCAGAAGCTAAGGCAGGAGAATTAGGAGTTCAGGGTCATCCTTAACTGCCTCGCAAGGTCCAGGCTAGCCTGGGCTACAGGAAGTCCTCCTCAGTCTAAACAAGAGCCCCTGAGACAACACTGGCATTGCGGAGTGAGTGGGCAGCTGTGCACCTGGATCATTTCTTTTGGTTCTCTAGAAATGCAGATGAAAGGTAGACAGCATTGAAGAGGCCGCTGAGCTGTGCCAGAAGACACCTTCAGCCTAGAAAAGTGCTATTTCCCTTAACACGCTTTAATAGAGCTTTTGTTCGTGATTTTCCATTATTGAGAAGGAGGGGCAGGTTTCTAGCACTGTTATCCTGATTAAGATAAAAGAGTAGGGGTTAAGGTGCCTTCCTTGGTTTTACATTAACGAACTGCCTTGTATGAAGATGATAGAAAATATGGAGTTTTATAAGGGATCATATCTGAGTTGTTTATAGTAGAAAACATATACACAACCTCAGCCAGAAGGGAGTCGTATGAACACAATAAATGAAATTACCTTTTCACGAACTCTTCTCCGAGTAGCAAGTCAAGGGGCTATGGAGACCGATGGGGCCAACCTCACGGCACAGAGAATGGCTCCCATCTTGAGTTTTAGGATGCTTAATGTTTTCAAGAATGGCTTGGATGGCGTAAAAGAAAAGACTGACATTTAAAAATCACCTGTGCCATCACTGTTAAAGCCTTGAGATGATGGCAAGAAGGATCCAAGGTGAAAATTAGCGGGAGAAGCAATCAAAAGCTGATCAAAGTCTATGTGGGGAAGATGCCGAGCTAGGGCCTGGGTGGTGGAGGGTGGGCTGTAGGACCTACATCGGATATGAATAGCAGTTATAATTCTGTTGAAATCTAGTACAGCACCAGGGAGATAGCGCCCCAGGAGCCTAGAAGCCTGCTAGGTGAGTGCTAGCTTGGGAGAGTTGCCAGCTGCTCTCTACGTCACTGTCCTGACTCCGGTCTTGAACATCTGCAGCAGTGATGGGCAGGTGCTTCACATAGCATAAGACCAGACAACATGGAATCCCATGTGCAAAGGGTTAATTCTTGTTCCAGACATTTAATAGCAGTAGGCCATTCATGTTTTACAGTAGAAATATCCTTGTGTCCCGTACTGTTTTTCTTGTGGTGATGGAATAACTGAACATCTTCAGAGAGGAAGGACTGGCGCTGGCACATCTGTCGTGGTGGCGCAGGAACGGTGGCAGAAGCTGCTATGGCTGTGTGGAAGGAGCGTGAAGTAGATGGCTCCATCAGAGGGGCAGTCAGGAAGTGTGGGGGGGCAGGAACTTGAGGGATTTCTAATTCCTAAACCCCACCCCAGAGATCTAAATCAAGATTCTATAGCCAAAAGATCCCACAGCCTCCTTAAAATGACAATGCCCCCATAGGAAGAGTAGTGTGCAGGAAACAGCTTCAAACAGTCACAGAGAGTATGGAGGAACGGACAAGAGCAGGGGTCAGGAAGTGGGACCTTACTAGAAGGATTCAACTAGTTGAGGACCTAGTAGCCAAACACACGAGCTGATGGGGCCACTGCACAGTCAAACCATAATTAAGTCCTATGTGTCTCCATACTGGAGCCTGCCCCAAGGTAGTCCCTTCTCAGTGAATTAACCCTTGCCACAGTTTTATCCTCACTTGGTTCTGCAGTTCACTGATGGATTTCCTGCATCTGCATTTCCATACCCATAATTCTTGTCTTGTTAAGGAAAAGCTTTGCTCTTCTACCCCCGCTTACACCTTCATGCCCTCGGTCACACTGGTCTTGTCTTCCCACCTTCTGACCTCCTTTTGTCCGTTCCTCCCCTACTCAGTATGACTGTTTGGAGCTGTTGACTTCCACGCCAGTCATCCTGCCAGGATGCTGTCATCTTGTAACCCCTCAGGGAGCTCTCACCCATGCTTTAAAGCTCCCTTCCACGGCAGCCCACACAGCACAGCATCCAGCTCTGACTTTGCTTAGCTCTGACAGCCAGGCCATAGCTGCAGTGAAGGGGTGAATGGGTGGATGGGAAAAGTTAATGAAGGGAGAGCTCATTCCTGAACAGTCTCCTCTCATTGTATTCCCTTTGCTCTGTCTTTTCCTGGGGAGACATTAATAAGCATCTGTTCACCCCAGGTAAAGCAACAGTGACAGAACACAGAACTGATTCCACCAAAGTCTTGCTTGGTGAACCAGTGAGTTTCCTGGGGTCACTTACAGGAATAAGGATGAGTGGACACATACAGGACCATGGGTGACTCACATGGAGCTCCATCACTATCCCAGGAAGAGTGATGACTAATAGAAGTTACATCCTGGGGGTTTCCCCACACAAGTGACAGTCTCCATGGAAGAGTCTCCTCTCCCTCAGCAATTGCTTACGGGTTTGTTTTCATAACCTTATTGTGGGGCCCTTGTGAATTTTAACATTTCCGTGTTTCCCAAGACTGGTAAGTTTTCCGAGTCTCTCTCCTCCCTCCAGGAGGGAATGTTTCAGTGCAGAGGGAGTATTTATGCTATGTCACATCCTTTGACATTCTGTTCATGGGCACACCCTCTCACTGCGTACACAAGGCTGTTCTGAGCTCATTCTGTCCTGCCTCGTTTCAGTGGGTCAGCTCTTCCAGTGGCTTCTTGAGAACAGAGATTTTGTTTGTAGATATCCAACCTTGTAAGTCTTTGCTATTCTTCTACAAGTTAAAAAAAATAAAACAACAAAACATCCCACAACCACCAAGCAGCATAAAGTGGAAAGCAAAAAGGGTGTTAGGATTAACGTGACTACATACTTCATGATGTCGTTGTTGCTAACGACAAAGGTGGTGCTGGGAAGATGGCTCCATGGGTGAAGGGCTTGTGGCACGGTCTCCCAGTGTGGATCCTCTGCACCCATGTGCAAGCCAGGTGTGAAACTCTCACCCCAGAACTTCCTGGTTAGAGTCTAGCTAAAAGAGCGAGTTCTGGGTTTAATGAAGTACTCTATCTCGAAAACTAAGGGAGGAAACAATAGAGGAAGACTTTCAGAGTTTAGCAGCCTGGGTTTGTGGAGATTGTACTTCACTCTCATCTTCAGGGGTTGCTCTGATGTTTCCTATCCGTGGGACTTCCCCCTCCCTCTTTGTCTTCTCACTGTCGGGTCTCCCTTGGGCCTCAGCTGATAAGGAGCGATGGAGGTTGTGGCATGAACCTTTCCTTTTGAAAAGCCCCTGTGGGTAGGGCTGTTACATCTCTTGTATTTTTGTTACTGATATTCATCTACTCATTATATAGCAGAGTTTGGGCACCATGGACCTCAGAAGAGACACGGTCTCTGTTTCCAGGATCTAGTGGATATCAGTTGAGATCTGTCTGAGGATGATTTATGGTTGTGAAAATTCTCTTCAGAGCCTGGCACTGTCAGCATTTTCATTTGCTTGGTTTGGTACTATGCCCACCTGGCCTCTTCTGTTCTTCTTCTTCTCCTTTTTATAAATTCCTTTGTGAGAGCCTAGATATTAGAACAAGTCAACCTAACCCCAGTTCCAGAGCTTCCGAGTTAAACATGTCTAAAGGGAAGTAAAGCAAGTGGAGACAACACAAGATCTATTTTCAGATGAATAGCGTATGGTCTGCTCTCACACTGGGGAATTATTAAAAAAAGTAGACACATGCTAAACCATGGATGAGCCTTGCAGACATTATGCTAAGTGAAACAAGCCAGTGAGAAGGCAACAGATTCTCTATGATGCTGCGCAGCTATAAGGAACCTAGAACAGCCATATTGACAGAGAGAGGGATACAATTGCCAGAGGCAGGCGAGAATGGGGAGTTGCTTAGTTGAATGGGTCAGGATATTGGTTATAGTGAATATGCTTCGTACCTCAAACTGTTGATGTGGTTTACACTCTTCAACTTATAGATGGCTAAAATGGTCAGTTTTATGCTGTATATAGTTTGCCATAATTAATAAAAAAATCAAGGAACTTGCTTTCAAAGTGATACCTT